TAAATGCTTTTTTGATTTTCAATGTTATGGTTTACGTTTTGTATGAGGTAATCTGAGACATGTCAATCTGATCTCCATCGCTTTTGAGTTTGTCTTTGTCATACTTCATATAATGACTGGTGCGCGTGAAATCCATATTCCTGGGGTGCCGATCGATTTTGTCGAAATCTAGGCTGTTTTGACCACAACATTATCTTAGTTGCAAAAATGTACGCTGGCGACGCATCACTAATCCTGAACCACTTTAGTTGAGTTGCTCGAGATTATAATTTGTTGCATATTCTGTGGATTGTTGTGCTCAAGAAATACGTAAACACGTCTGTAGTTTAGCTCATGATGAACCGTGGTCGCCCTATAGCATCTCTAACCGTGTGACGTACGGATACCGTTTCTCGCCTTTTCGTTTTAACTTCGCGGCTGAGAAGTTATGGGAAACGCGTTTACCAGACTCGATTTAGAAGGTGCGGTTACACCGAAGTCATTGGCTTCATGACGATAATGCACTACTCTTAGATATTGCACGGACGTTTCAAGCAGCATTTGGCAGATGAGCACTGGCTGTCAGCCGCTTTAGGATGTGATTTGTACAATACAAATGCATTGCTTACCAACGTCTGAGAGGGACGGACCTAAGTGTTGACCCTCCGGCGGGGATTAGCTAGACGTCTTTTAGAAATGTAACTCTGTGCAGTTGTGTCAGCTCCCTGAGGAAATAATATGAAATCACGAACCGCATAAGAATTTTTTAGGTGCTTTTGCTAATCTTAGCCACTTGTGACATCGGTGCGACATCGAATTTGCCCGAGTGACAGAGTCCACAATGTTGCCATTCGTCCATGCCTACCGCGCGACTGACGATACTTTTTGACTGGGTTTCGCTGGGACAGCACGTCAAATATTTAAAATATATATTTCAAAGTGCCTATTAAGTCCAAGTTTTTAGTCCGGGTCAAATCAAGCTATTCAACAAACTTTGAGTCCCCGGTAGTATTTGGTTATCACCTATTCGCAAGATCACTGAGAAGCTTAGTAGGACCCCAATCACTTCAACTTACTACTCGGGTTAATGCAACCATATACACATTTGCACCCAAGCTCTTGCTGGTTCTGGTATTGTAGGTTGCGCTGGATAAGCAAGCTGTCGTGGGATTGAGGTAATCAGACGAAAAGTTGAGAGAATGACACGAGTGATTAAAGTAATAGAATTTTATATGCGATAGCTCCGAAAACGCGAATTCTATCACTTATACAACTAACCTATTGATTCACATTAAATAAGTGGCTACTGACTATCTCTGAAATTGCACCTAACTCCCCAGTAAACATTAGTTAATTTATATTTGTCTAGACCATGCCGAAATGCTTTTGGTTCCTTCTTTAAATATGTCTGCTCGTAGTACATGGTGTATGCAACCGTCAAATAGTTATGATACATGCAATTGTGCCACATGCGTGCGGAGGAAGGAGAGTTTTCTCGTTACCTAGCAAGTAACACATTGCCCGCATTTTGTGTAGGATATAAGTGCTTGCCTCTCTAACTGAATCGCTATTAGCAATGCTGCTACATCTTGGCGAATGCAAAAATTGCGAAGTTTATCGAGGCATTATAATCATGTTGCCCGTTCAATTATGGTTCCCATTGACCGAGAGAAAATGTTGAGGTAAGAGCCATAAGCATCTCTCCCTTACTTCAGTCTCAGCAGATTAACACCATTACCACGGATACTTAGTGCACTTATCGCATGACGGTTCTAAACCAGACTTGCTTTCTCCAGTAACCACGGCAGATCCAAAAGCAGAGCAAGTGATGCGATACTGGGATGTTAAATTGCTTTTGATTCATTCAGATGATAAGAGACATTAGACAAAAAGGAATATGAAGATGCACCTGAGTAGTACTGAGTGGAATATTATAATGGCCGGGTTAATATACTGTTGACACGGGCCCTCGGTATGTAGGATGTCGAGATGTCGGGTTTCGCTGGGACAGCACGTCAAATATTTAAGATATATATTTCAAAGTGCCTATTAAGTCCAAGTTTGTAGTCCGGGTCAAATCAAGCTATTCAACAAACTTTGAGTCCCCGGTAGTATTTGGTTATCACCTATTCGCAAGATCACTGAGAAGCTTAGTAGGACCCCAATCACTTCAACTTACTACTCGGGTTAATGCAACCATATACACATTTGCACCCAAGCTCTTGCTGGTTCTGGTATTGTAGGTTGCGCTGGATAAGCAAGCTGTCGTGGGATTGAGGTAATCAGACGAAAAGTTGTGAGAATGACACGAGTGATTAAAGTAATAGAATTTTATATGCGATAGCTCCGAAAACGCGAATTCTATCACTTATACAACTAACCTATTGATTCACGTTAAATAAGTGGCTACTGACTATCTCTGAAATTGCACCTAACTCCCCAGTAAACATTAGTTAATTTATATTTGTCTAGACCATGCCGAAATGCTTCGCGTTCCTTCTTTAAATATGTCTGCTCGTAGTACATGGTGTATGCAACCGTCAAATAGTTTTGATACATGCAATTGTGCCACATGCGTGCGGATGAAGGAGAGTTTTCTCGTTACCTAGCAAGTAACACATTGCCCGCATTTTGTGTAGGATATAAGTGCTTGCCTCTCTAACTGAATCGCTATTGGCAATGTTGTTTCATCTTGGCGAATACAAAAATTGCAAAGTTTACCAAAGCATTATAATCATGTTGTCCGTTCAATTATGGTTCCCATCGACCGAGGGAAAATGTTGAGGTAAGAACCATAAGAATCTCTCCCTTTTTTCAGTCTCGGCAGATTAACGCCGTTACCACGGATACTTAGTGCTCTTACAGCATGACGGTTCTAAACCACTTGCTTTCTCCAGTAACCACGGCAGACGCAAAAGCAGAGCAAGTGATGCGATACTGGGATGCTAAATTGCTTTTGATTCATTCAAACGATAAGAGGCGTTAGACAAAAAGGAATATGAAGATGCACCTGAGTAGTACTGAGTGGAATATTATAATGACCGGGTTAATATACTGTTGACACGGGCCCTCGGTATGTAGGATGTCGAGACCGGAGTAACGATATAAAACGCAGTATCATATTAGCGAAGTTAACAATCAGTTGCATGTCATTTCAAATCGCACCCACCGGCAGGTCATAGGAACGAGTTGAACAGCGTTTCGAAGAAAATACTTTAAGGCAAATTATATAGGTAAGTACAATTAAAAGCTTGAGTAAGATGACAGCAAACTTTAGACAACTGCAAGAGGCGTTTCCACAGCTATTTCTGGTATTGCTTCAATCAATTCCTAATGGAGATTGCTAGTGAGTGCAAGATTTTACGCACTACACCACACTGCCCGCTTTGGTTGAATACGCTGGTTGGATCTTTCTATTTGAATGTACCCCAGAGATATCATGGGAGGTATTACTAATTCCTTCATATCTCCAATCACTGAACCTTCAATGCCTAAACCACTCCATCCTTCCTTCAAACCAAGTCTTTTGCGAGAAACAGGGTATGAAAATATACTGCCCTAGGAGATTGTATACAGATCGTTTATAATGACATCCACAGTTCAGAAAATTTGACCGCATGCGTAGCTCAATGCAAACACCTTGTACAGTTCGCTGGTGACGAAAAGTTAACAAATGAACATAAGCTACTGAATCGATTACGTTCGTATCGTTAGCATCTTTACAATCACGTAGATAGCCTTCGTAATTTTGAACGCGGAATCCCGCCACTTGCTATGGATGGTGAGAATTCACCCCTGTACTGAGAGACGACCACTGCCACATCGTTTCAGTATTCATCTACCTTTGAAGGAATATGTGTATAAAACAACAATTCTTTTACTACTGCTCTCCCATTATGTTTAACTGGTGCAACTTTAACTGCGAAAACAGTGCTAAAATAGCAGATACGCTTGCGTGCGCAGAGCTCTCTTGGAGCGGATAACATTCAGCGGAAAGCTGTCCAGGTAGCTACCTTGCACTTAGGCGAAGAGCTTGCTGGTTTTGTTCAGCTGTGTTGCTCGGATCATAGTTCTATCAAAGTAGAAATCTGGTAGCAACCTCATTGTGCACACAGTTGATAGTCCATCTGTCTGCCAACTACCGCGCGGTAACGCTCCTCCCTGTGCTCACTGAGGTCAAGGAAGTGATCAGAGAGATGTATGGATGAACTACTTGCAAAGCAACAGTATCACTGAGGCAGAGCAGCGCGGCTTTTGTCATCCTATATCAGGCGCTACTAGTCTACAAATTCTGTAGTGTGGACTGAAGCAGCCGGTCATGGGGTAGGAACTAAAAAGTCAGCTAGAAGTTTGCAGAAGCATCATTTTCTTTAGATCATCATATTCTGCTTTAAGGTCTTCCGAAATATGACACCATATAACCAGCTTTGGTATGGATCAGAACCTCTATTCACCATTCGTAGGTGGTGCTTTGGGTAGAAAAATGTTTCTGACCCAATGTGGATCGACTGCAGTGTACCGTCAGTCTCGGCCCATGGGCTTCTCCAGTTTTTGGTATTCATCGACGAACTTGGGAGAGTTTTTACCTCAAAGTTTGCGCTCCCTGCAGACGACATATTTAGCAGGTGATCGAAGGATGGGTAGACGACGATATCCGCCAAGATTGACCTTTAGATGGTCTATTATCCATCGGTCAAGGACGCTCTGCCACACAATGTAGACAAGTGCGGATATGCAAGTAACTGATATCGACACGTCTAAATCTCCAGGATTGGGACACACCATCTGAAGATCAACTCTCAGGAGCGTGACTTGTATGTACTTGTACACGACGAACTCCGTGGTTCCAGAAAGTCTGAGTCCGTTGCAAAAGAGGCAACGCTCATGCTGGTTCCTTGCGGAAGGAACAAGGAAGTATTGATTTAGCTATCTTCTCAATAAATGCGTGAGTCTCCATGTCACAACCACTATCCAAGTTTGCCCATCTTGCCTAACGAGTGATCTCACAGCGGTCAAAGCACTAATTTGTCGGGTAACGAAGGGTGTCAATAGTTAGCGATACCTTGCGTTCTCGAAATAACTGAAAAAACATGGAGCTTCCAGTGGACGGTACCGGAGACTACTTAGAGACATGAGAATGGAATAACAGCTACTGGGTAATTCGAGTCACAAATGTCCATGTCTTGCTTGAAAGACAAAATTTTGAAAGTATACCGAACATACTGACGTTTAGACTGTCGACGGTGTTACACTCCCTCCGGCCTGCCAACCATCAATCGATATGCTATACAGTTTGCACCCCCGTTATAGTTTTTTCGAAAAGGTCGAATTTCGCACTATCAACTTCCTGCAGGGATTCTCGGGTAAGCGTCTGGGGCCAACGAGATACTATGAAATGATCACCTGTAACATTGCACGCAACAGTGCAAATTAAATATTACGTTAGTTATTTATAGTTTAATTATATGCGTATTTTAGTTTGTATTTTATTTTTATTTTTTATTTTTTTAGTTATTTAGTGTTTATATTATTTTTTAGTTATTTTATGTTATTCTGTGCTTTTGCGTTTAATTTTGTTTTATTTATTTACTTTGTGTTTATTTACTTATTTTATGTATTTTGTGTGCTATAAACGCATTACCAGAGCCCTGCTTCGAGTATGCCATAACTAGATCAGCTTATCGATAAGCAGTCTGTTTTGTGTGCATGTCTATTTTCGAGTAAGTTATTCCTTCTCTTGTTTTGTTAAGGGACCTGTTAAGCGTATGGGTATTAACCCTACTTATTTACTGTTACATTCTTCATGCTGTGGTATGTTTGCGCGGTCGTGGTCACCACGACGGGAACCGCATCTCCATCAGTTAACGAGGGGAAGAAATACTCATGCTGACTTTGCAGGAAAGCTTGGATTGTAGAGGTAAATGTGTGGAGAATGTGCGGCATGTGTCACGTGAGTATCCTCCCACGTGCGCTTTTTTGTTGTTTTACCGCTGTAGCATCCTGATTGCTCGCGGTGAAACGCATTGTGACATGCGTAAAATGTTGGATCGGAGTGCTGACGTTTGTTAGTAAAGTCATAATAGCTCTTTTGTGCTTCATCTCAAGCAATCGGAAAATTAGCGAAACACTTTTATTCATCTGTTTACACTAAAGATCAGATCATTGTAATGAAGCAGCAATCGACGCCGAAACGTGTCTGGCTGACTCCGGTATCAAACTTAGTAAAGCCTTATTTCATTGCAACGGGTATATTATAACTGTTTCGGTTTCCTTTTAATGAGCTGTGTTGTTGGAATGTGATAGGCGAAATTTAACTGCTTATCAAAGCATCTGACTTACTCGGCGCCCAGAAATGGCAGACGAATAACATCCGCATCCAAGTCAGCCAGCCATATATAAGGCAGTCTTTCTTTAATGTACATCATGGGTACTTCAAGTGTTTTGCCATCCAACAAGTAGAAGGTTGCATTCGTAGTCCGGTTCTTTGCAAACGGATGTTCCCACAATCCTACGTAGGTAGATGAAATAATTTAGACTAAGCAAATTGTAAACGAAACCTTTGAAGTACAGTGCATTCAGTATGGTCAAAATAGAACTCTCAGACAATGCGTCGGGAGGAATCAAATCGTTGATTTTTCCTTTCGTTACGTTTGATACCCATTTGTTCATATGGACTCGTTTGTTTTCCAACCCACCAAATTCAACCAGCTAAACGATTTGATTATGATTGAGATTTGGATGTTGCACTCACTGACTCCGTTTCTGCATTATAGTGTTTACTCAAGGTTTTGGAATACTCGGGTAGGATTTTGGCCGGTTGTAGGAGAAACAGTCGATTGGCCGCTGCCACCTCAACGGTTTTTGAGGACTGTGAGATATTCACAAACGTTGACCCAAATAGTTCATGTGCTTGTGATTCATTCAGCGTGTCAGGAACATGAAGCATCTTGACCATTTCTTGCTTGGTCACACCAGAAGCTCCAGCCATAATCAATGCTATTGCAGCATGTACGCTCATGGGAGACCAAAATACATTCTTGAATTGGGCTAGTGAAAAGAAATTAGGGACGATCGTTAGTAACAACTCACGGCTTTGTTCCTTGATAATTTGGTCGTATAAATCGACAGCGAAATGGCACAGTACCTCGCTGAACGACAGGTTCACTGCCATTCTGACGACTTTGCAACTGTGAACTGAGAAACTGGAACCCGAATCACCTAGACACCAATTGCATTCTGTCAAGGCCAACTCAAACACTGGTCTATTCTCTTAGCTTATTGGTCAGCACGGTTGGTCATCGATTTTTCCTAACCCTTGCAGGGTAGGGGTGATGTTGTTGATCTCGAGTAGTTTTTCATCGGAATGTTAAGTAGGTGAGAGTATTGATAGTTGAGCATTTTAGGACATTGAAATGATGCATTCTAGTAGATCAGCGTACTTATGATGCAGAACCTGTATCGCACTACCTGTTGATGCGTGTAATAGTCGAGACCATATAAGCGCTTACTCTGAGCTAGTAATGTTTTATTGATCTGTTAGAGAGATGCTATTTTTGGATAATTAAATAATGCTTTGTTCATTAGAAGTACAACGATTTGCAGCTAGCATACCGTTGGTGTAAGCGCAAGGAAATCACAAATGTATGTTGGTGCTTGCCCGCCCGAGAAACCCTGCACGCCCTGACCAGTTTCGAATTTATTCGATCTCATCATGGAGGGATAGGAAGCACTCAAACCGGAGCCCTTTGGGATGTTAGCCCAAAGCTCTTTCCCTATAACGCCAAATTTCGGCGGGGATGGCTTTTCCCGATGGTTAGTTTCTAACTACATGTGGTCACTTCGTGGCACCCCTTGTGTGAACGGATTGCGACGTGCCCAATAGCTTAGAGTTCTAGTGCACATTATCTCTGCATGATGAGACCAGACAACTTCGAATACGGAAACGCACTGCAATTTTTCCGGACTGTGGAAACCCATACGTTTTATCAGTTAATTTGTAAGTGATCTGACTGGCTAAGAATCAATTTAATGCGAAGCAAGGTCAATATGAAGCCTGCGCGTCCCAATCCATTCACCTAGTGAGTATTCCAAAATGTCCTCTCCAGTCAAATAGTACCAACTTTCATTAATGAGGAACAATAGAGAAATGGATTAATAACAGCGCTTGTTAAAAAATTAAACAATGGTGAATATGTCCACTAGAATATGCAAAGTGCGTCGGTAGACTCGTCGACAGATTGTTTACTTTATCATATGTCCCAGTAAGTTGTGCTAAATCATCTAAATCAAACAGTGCAAGACACCTCCAAGTTGAAGTTGTTTAACGTGGGAGTAGAGAAGCTAGAATTCGGCACAGTATTCCACGACCGGGATACAGCATGGGAGAAATAGTTCCAGCAGCACTAAGGAGACTATATAGTGTGGCCAAATTAAAATTGTGTTCTTCCAGTGAGATGTGGCTGACTTCCTCTAAGTGTCCTTATGCATGGTTTGAATACTTAGGATCTAAATACTCATTATGGTGCTGTAGAAGCAAGCCTAAATTATTCTCCAAAAACTTAATAATAATATGTGAACAACTTATTAAAAATTACGTTCGCCTATTGATGACACTCATTCCTCAGTTTTGAGGTATTCATCCCAGTATTTCACAAGCTACATAGCACAGACTAGTGCGGAAAACCATCAGGCGCCTTTCACCGTATTCGGTCTTGTCAGTGGTGTGAGTTTTCTCGGTCCCCTACTGGGGATCGAACACATGACTACTAAAGGCAAATGCCAACTAGCCAGCAGCTTAAGCCACTGAGTCATGGGGGACGTTGTCAGAGTTACATGATTTGCAAGCAAACTAGGGAGAATAACTTAAAGGATTACATCTAAAATCCTGCTGCTTACGAATGATTACAAGTTTTCAATCTTCAGTCACCGTTTCATGCGTACTACGGAATCAGAGCTCCATACCTTCGCTACACGTTAATAGAATAGTTTGTGGTAATCTTCTTGTTCAGTGCGCAGGACTCAGTACCATAAGACTTCATGTGCCGGGAGGTCAGTGCTCCTAGGGCACAAGCATTTATGCACTTTGTGCCAGGTAAACCTGGACCGACTGCAAGGTCTGTAACTCATAGCACTGAGTTGGCACCGGGCGAGGAAGAATGCCTAGCTGCAACATTGAGACACCTCGGGCTAGCTTATTAGACCTTACTGATTTGAATCATCATCGTCGACTCACGGTTGTCTCTTTACTGTGCTCTACACTGTGGCTGATTATCTCTGCCCCATCTTCACTCAGTGCAGTCAACACACACTCATTCGAATCGGATTAACTTCCGTTATTCATTGAGCATAATTTCGCGGGAAATTGTACCTACGGATCGTGATCTGTCTAATCCAGACTATTATTGAACGCTTCCTGCTCACATCCAAAAGTGGAAAGCTGTAGTTTTTAAAATAAAAGCAGCTGGGAAACTACATTCTACAATGTGTTTGCTATACTACCTGATCATTTCAGAATTTCTGCTGCAGCAACACTACTAAGGACGATGTCACCTAATTTGTGGCTTTGGATTGCATTTACCCAGCGCCGACACAGCCACTAACATCTACCCATCACCAACCAGGTTAGACGGCTTCAGTTCAGTTCAGTTGATCAAGTACCGAGCACCGAAGTGCGGTGGATCCAGTTGACACGACGCACTATAAGGATAACCATAAATAACTCCGATTGCTAGTAGGGTTGGATGCAAATAGAGCGTAGTGCAAATGAAAGAAAGACGAAAATGCGTTGGCGTTATCAGAAGGGAATTAAAAGTAACCACTGGATGAAAGAAGGCAAAAGCAGGGACGCCGCTTACTTCGTGACTGCTTTATGCGTGAAACATTTTTCAACCATTTATGTGGACCGTCTCGAGTCTCCCAACCAGAAAGACAGCACGCGCCAGCCTTACCAAGTCTCTCAGTCAATTTCTTCAAATTTCTATGCTGTCTTGGAATTGCCACCTCGCAGTTTCACTCAAATTCGTGCAGCAACCGCGTATAGTGCAAGCCGAAGAAGCCCATAAACAGCCATACGGAAGACATGGCTTACCCAGAGCTATCGACTTTGGTTTATCAAACACTCGAGAGACGCACCAGAAGGATTCTTGCCAAAAACTAACTGCCGGATCTCAGCATTTCTCACCCAGTGTTCCCATAAAACATGCACAATACTTCGCAAGCACCGGTGGTCAAACACGGCAAAGCGTTCCATGTCTTCATTACGAGCTGGCCAGGTCTCTGATCCATATATGTAACAGTGGCCTTACACCAGCGTTATCCACCCTACCTTGCACTGAAATATTCATATCCTGCAGTCGCCATAGACGGCTGAGCCTCTAGAAATCCACACGGGTCTTGTTGACACTCGGAGTAACTTTCTCAGTGATGTGACCACAGAGATGACACAGCCACCAAGCTAAGTGCACCAAATCACCACTTCCAGTGGCTGTTAGAATAAAACTGAAATCGCGAATCTTTCCGCCAAGTCCAGCAACCGCATTTCGCACTTTAATGGTGCAAGGTAACTGCCGAAGAGTACAGCTCTAAGCACAACTCGGTGCAATAGTGTGGACAAAGCCGAAACATCAGCCCAAGGAAGACTATTTCGTCCGCATACTAGGGCTGAGCATTCGGTCACCCGGCAGAACTTCCACTACAGATTAATCTGAAAGAAACGGGTCGTTCATGATCATTTCCATCAAACCGTTGGAGAGAAAAGGAGATACAGGACAACCCGCGCGAATTCCACTTGTCGTGAGGAACTAAGGAAAGGGTTTCCCACAGACCCATACACGGCCTCGGGAATTAAGTTAGAAGAACTTCAGAATGGAAAGAGTTTATCTGGCAAGCCCTTCATGGATAAGCATTACCACAAGTCGGTGCGGTCACTGTAGTCGAAAGCGGTTTTCAAGTCAAATAAAACCACCATAGCCGCTCGTCTGTATTTATGTTTTTCCTCTAAATCTTAGCAAAGATTAAATATGTGGTCGATGCAACTACGGTTAGGACAGAAGCCAGCCTGGCTTTCTGTGATTTGATCCCCACGAGACCAGTCATTCGTCTAAGAAGGATACCGTGAGACTTTTTGAGGCAATGCAATTATGGATAACGCAGCAATGATTTTCACACAAAGTACGCCGATCCTTTTTGAACATGAGCACGACAGTTGATACTCGTCAGTCTGAAGGCACTTCTTCAGTGTCCAACCTTTGGTTAAAATAGAGGCGTCAGTCAAAAATTGTCAGGCTATCTTTTAACAAAGATGGGAGAAGGTCGTCCTGTCTAAATGCCTTGTTTCGTTTCAACACGGCAAACTCATGTCGTACCTATTCAAAAGTTGGTGTAACCTCTACTTCGCACATCGGCTTAGGTGATTCGGAAACTGGAAGTATAGCAACAGGCCAACTGAAGCGCTCCCCAAAAGCTTTTGCTCAACCAGCTAGTAGACGTCGTTGAGAATGAACCACCAGTCTATTACTAAAGCTCCTGTTTCACTGACTGCTGGAATAGCACCCGGCTACTTTCAGTTGCCCTGGCTTTCCCCATCTAAACCGTTTTTGCGACCCACCAACGTTCCAGGTAAACTCGAGGACTCTTTACCGGACGTCGTTTCAGAGAGTTACGGATACGCTGAGCTTTAATACCAATCGGAGCCCGTTTGCGCGCTTCGATCAAACTGATCGATGCTTCAGAGATCCAAGCACAGTTACGAGGTCTCGAGTCTGGTCCACGACAATCGTCAGGGCATTTTTCGTAGCACTGTGCGCTACCTGGAAATATCAACAACCGAATGCGCACAGTTAAAAGCCTGTTTACAAGAGTTCCCTTTTAGCTACAGATTGTACAGTCACGTCATCTTTCGCAGTAGCTTTTGACTTGCTAACAGGCCGCAGACACTTTATCATGTGCCCAACAACGAAGAACAGAATGGACAGAATAGTTGCAAGCACACCATGAGGTCGCAGAGATTATCATAGACAATACTTTGAAGATATATATATACATATATATATATGGTATATCTAATATCCGAAGAGGATGGTACAAGCTATATCGCCACTCACTTCAGCGCGTTATCCGCACTTGTCTAGGATGCAACAACATCATCCTCATCAACTTCAATACCTCAGTCAT